GGCCTGGGGCCATATTGGAATTCACGGCGAATGCGCCTTTGTTGTTGCGGATCTTTATCTCTGGCGTGAGTGTACGGCGGCAACGCCGAACTTCCTCTTTTCAACTTTTGTCCTCTTCCATCTCGACACTCCTCCCTCGTCTTTTTTTTTTTCTCTCTCCTCTATCTTTGAATGATGTCGTGTGTCGATCTCTTTCTCTCTCTCTAATGGGAATGAGTAAGCATGCTGTTCCTATGTGAAAGAACTTCTTCTGGAACTCTTCCATTAGTTTCCTGGGTAGTCCCCCTATGCAAGAACCCTGTCTTCGTGTCTTGTGAACGGCGGATGCATGTGTATTATTCAGCGATCCATTTTTTATCCCTGTGCATGCTTCATTTTCGCACCTTTCACAGTCAATGTACGTATGGAGGTACACGTCTTTTTGCGTTGATTAGACGATTGTTGTCGGGATTTTGTCCGAGAATGCAAGTGTTTAGATTTGTAATTCCGAATGCACTGCGCATGTCATCTGCCTTATGTTGCACGACATCTGCAACGGATCTACATGGCAGCTTCGAAAAATAAGGCGCCTGGGATCAACACCGCGGTGGTTTACGGGAACCTGAGTCACGGGTTGGTCCCTTAGTTACATACATGATCGAGCTGATGAATGTGTTTCTTTTTCTTTCTCTTCTCTCTCTCTCCCTCGTGTTGGAAAAGATTGATTGGAGATTGCGCGAGTGTTCAAGTTCCTCCTTGATGACGTCTCGGAGTTTTTGCAATAGATTGACATGTGGACTGACAAGCACCCTTCGATCGGGCGTCAGCCTCCCGTACCTCCCGTATCAACACGGCCTTTTCCCTACAACGAGGAAAGGACACGTGTATGCGAGTGGGATGTACGAGAAGCTGTCGCAAAGATCGGCGGGCGATACTACTTCCCTCCGGCAAACCGTTGTTCAAGGTTCGTAGAGGCTGGGTTTGTTTTTATCGACACGCACTTTCCACCCTACTTAATATTGCTCCCCTTTAACGAGCTGATCGTCATTCCGTGGATGGCAGTGGCGCCCCATTGGCCTCAAACCCTGTGCACAGAGTGCCAGCGTTTCGATCGCTGCGAAGCAAAGGGCTTCCACTACCGAATACGGAGTGAGGACGAGCATAAGGAAAGAGCCACGCGGCTGCGACCCTCCATATCAGACTCAGAACTGACCAGCGAGCGACGACGGGATTTGATACGAAAACGAGACACGCGAAGCGTGCCGAAGCCCTTCCGCTCTAAACGACGGGCCGTAGCACGGTGGGAAGCTCGACAATACTTTTTGGATTGAATTTGGATTTTTCTCTTTTCGCGCCGTGCCCGCGCGCGCATTGCACGACGCGCGAAAGCAACCGACTTACTTCATCGGACCAACACGGGGGATTTCAGTTCCGTCTGTGTCCCCACACTCAATTTCCAAAAATCCTTGGCACACCCCATCTTGCTGTTTTTCTGGGCCTCTTTCCGCACATCTAGCACTCCGAACGAAAGACAGCACAGGGCGTGAGGTTAGCGCGTCACATACCAGGGAACCTGCGAAATGGTCGAGAGTACTGCCGCGAGTCCCATTTGGGCCCATTTGGGTCCATCCCATGAGTGTTGACAAGTCCCGCAATGGTCGTCCCGCAAAAGAAACAAAAACTGCATAGTATATGCGCGTCAGCACCTGCGATTATCATTGGCTGTTGTTGTGGGAGGCCATGGCAATACTTGGCCCTACGGATTTCTCGAAGATTCTTTGTTGCTAATGTTGTGGGCCCCTTTGTGTGTCACTCCAGCCAAGAGCCCCAGCCCGGCCCCATAAAGAACGATACATTGATTCCTTGTATGGAAAATTGATAGGTACGGCCCCCACGAGAAAAACAAGAGAAAACCTTACTGGTACAGTGGTACGGCACTGATCTACTGGGACTTCCCATGTGCTCACCCATCCCAGTCACCCATCCCAGTCCTGTCCTATTCCATTTCGGAAACAATGATACTTGACTTCGGAGTCCCGGGGCCAAGTCCCACTTACGCTGATCCTTGATTTCTGGCCGTTGATCTTCCAAATATGCGGTCAGAAATCGATCATTCGGGTAAGTGGGACTTGGCCCCGGGCGTATGAGCCGCGTAGGGTCCATGGTTACACTAGGAAAAAAAAAAAAAAAAAAAAAAAGGATCCATGGTTAAAGTTCCAGTGTTAAGGGATGTCCCAAAGAACACACGAAAACCTTTTGGTTTTCGCCTCCCAACTTTTTGGGTTTGGTAGGCAGGGCCCATCATGATGGGCATTGCAGTCCACATAATGTAAAAATCTGGTGGCCGAGATTGGGTGGCGACCGTCTCCCTCCTAGTATAGACTGCTCTCATGTTGTTATCTGTGTCTCTTTCTTGTCCTTGTTACTCCAGGACCTCCCTTTCTCTCTCTCTCTCTCAGGCTCTCTTTCTCTCAGGCTCTCTCTCTCTCTCAGGCTCTCTTTCTCTCAGGCTCTCTCTCTCTCTCAGGCTCTCTTTCTCTCAGGCTCTCTCTCTCTCTCAGGCTCTCTCTCACATTGTATATATGTACTCCTTAATTTTCTTACTTTTTTTTTATTATAGAAAAAGCTGTCTACTACCTACCTATCACTACTCCTAAGGCTATACAGGGGACCCCTGCAAGCAAGCATAGCTTTCTACCTATGAATCCCCCTGGGCGGCGGCCAGTGGGGAGGGGGGTTCGGGATTCGGGAATCGCCATGGGGCGACGCATCCCCAGCCCCAACCCCTCAAACAAATTTAACAAAAAAAAAAACTAACTTCTGTATGGGGGGGTTTGGGTGGGTGAAGGTATTGTGCGGGGGTTTGGG